GGAAGAGTACATAACTTAAGATTGTAGTTATGCATTATCTTAGGTTGTAAATCTAGATTACATAGACGTGTAAGGCAACTAAGGTTGGTTGTTCTTTTAAAGGCAAGTTAAACCATTTGAGTACACAGTAGACTGTCAGTCAGTCTTAAGTAACATTTAAGGTGTAATAATATCTTTGGCTGTGAGGCTCAGCAAAAGTTTCAGTCTTTTATAATGTAAGAGATATTTTTGTAATATCACATTACTACAGAAAGGGAATGAATAAGGTAAGAATTTTGAGGGGCTGAGTGAGACAGCGATCAAACTCAGTTGGGAGATTTAGCTGTATTCAGTCAATGTGAAACTGGACAAAATAAAGATGTAACATAGGAGCATATATGAATTATAGGTTAGAAAATTCCTTCTAGTTTCAATTTTTTTTAAAGCTAGAGAATGAATTTTGCTGGTGGGTTTGAAAGGTAACAAATAAAGTCACATGTTTACAGTGAAGAATGGTTAAAGTTTAGAATGATAGCTAAGGAAAATTTCTTGGGGAGTGGCTTCCAAGGAAAAAGTAAAAGAATTAAAAAGTAACACTGAGAAAGGACCCTAAGTATTTGAGGACATGTATTTGTATCCAACGGTCAGAGTGAGCTTCCTCAGAAGAGCTGGAATGAAAACAATGAATAGAAATGCACTACTGCAAACACAGGGCTGAAATGTTTGGGATTCCAAGAATTACCCTTTACTTCACAGGTCAGAATAAAATAAAATAAAATAAAATCATGTAAGCCAGGATAACCCTGAATATCTGATTTGATTACACATTTGATATCTCATCATTCTGATCTTCCTCCAATGCCCCAATGAATAACAAGAATTCTCTTGGCCATTTTCCATCCACTCACCTCCATCTTGCATCTTGGTTATATGTGCTCATTTTTCCATGTCATAATTGAGCCCAATTTCTCTGCCCTACTGTAATCTTCCATTGAAGTAGTCCTTCTTGAATAAATCCTCTTTTGTTGTTGCTTTTTACCATTTTTAAATGAGTAGCATGATTTTTTCTTTAAAACTATAATTATCCCTCAGATAGAGAAAAATTTCCAAAGTCTTTAATATGGCACACAGACATTACACAATCTGTTTCAAATCTAGCTTGTCTGTACTCAATTCTGTTACACAATTATTCTGTTCTGATCATAATATGGACAGAATAGATTTTAGTCAAAATATCTATCTGGTTTGAGTGAGAATGTTCCTGTATGTTCATGTATGGTGCTGTTGTTTGGGGAAACTCAGGAGGTGTAGTCTTTTTGGAGGAAGTATGTCACTGGAGGCAAGCTTTGAAAATTTAAAGATTCTATGCCATTTCCAGTTACTATTTCCTCTGCTTCATGATTGTGGTACAAAATGTAAACTCTCAGTTGGTTCTTCCAGCAGCCACGTATGCAGCTTGTTGCCATGCTTCTCCACCATCATAGACTTTAAACCCCTGGAACTGAATGCACAAAATTTGAGCATTCTCCCCATAAATTGTCTTGGTTATGGTATTTTATCACAGCAATATAAAAGTAATTAATAAACTCCCCTACTTTTCACTGACTATATTGTTTACTTTCACATACCTTTTCCTTTGCATAGAATTCTTATCTGTTTTGACAGTCTCACACTCATCTGTCAACATACAGAACAATTGTAACTCTAGCATGAATTTATATGTTTATGAATAATATCTTCTTGGTCTACTATGTATGTCTACTGTGTCAACACAGGGTTTGTCTATAAAAAAAGTCATTGATTTGTAACTGTAAAGGTGAATAAAAGAGCAAGACGACTATTGCCTCTTAGCTTTGCAAAGTGTCTCATTAGTGGACATAATGGACCTTTATACTTTCTTTACCTTTTAAAATGTGGATAAATGTTTCCAAGGATTGCAAACTCCCAGTCTCTAGCATATTTACACTTGAAATGTAAACATATATCTTTAAACCTACAATAGGACTCTATCTCAAGGTGTAACCACTCAAGAATATGTGTAGTATCACTCTGGAGATGTTTTTACTATTTTTTAGAGTAAGTCAATTATTTGAGCAAACATCTACCTCAAATCCCAAGTGAACTTACATCTTAAATTTGCAGTGCCTTGAATGCTACCTATCTGCATGTACTTTTTTTTGTGTTTACTCAGTAAATCAGCCTTCTTTCTTTACAATATTTGTGTAGACAGGTCTGTTTGCTGATAGGAGTTATTTCTTTACCAATGTATCATGTGACCAAATGAATACAATTCAGTGTCTAAACCCCAGTGAAAATACTCATCTTTCCTTAATATTTCCTGGCTATCTGGTTACCACAAAGCTTCATTTTAAATTTATGGTCCATTTGAGACTTATATTTCATTAACACTTTAGGATTTTGTAAAGTTCTTTTAGCATGGCATAGTTATATTTATACTTTCTAAAATGTTTAAATCTTTCATTACATTGTCATTCAGCAGACTACATTTTGTAAATATGTACATATTGTTTATACATTGTATTATGTTCAGAATTAATTACATGGTTTGTCTTATAATTGCATACATCAGAAATTTTAAGCCCGATTTTAATAAGATCAATAGCCATCAGAAAATGACACAAAAATGTTTTTTGTATAGCCACTGCTTACATGCCAGTTCTTAGTATTTTAACACTAACATGTGGCTTGGGAAAGATCACCAAATGTTCATGAGTTCACACTTATTTTCTAGATGAACACAGAAAATGTACATAGTCATTTTATACATTTCTTTTTTGCTATCACAGTATATTCCATATTTATTACACAACTGACAATAAAAACAACTTTTAGCACAAGAATGCCAATTTATCTCACCCATCCATCTTTTTCGAACACAAAATATCCTTGCAGACCAAAAAAATTTTTTTTTAAACAACCATCACTTTATCTCACACAGGGATGCAAACCCTTCCTTAATAGCTTAGAAAGCACCTTGTATTGCTAGAGATAGACATCTAGTCCAAATTAATAAAATACATTTTAAAACATTACAACTCTAACCATAGAGAAACAAATCCATACCATTAGTCAAATGAACAAATACAAATATTTTCAGCCAGTGGACACAGAAAGAATACGAATATGTCAATAGCAAGGGGAAAGAAAATGATTGGCCAATAAAGATCTTTCCTTTAATTTCACAAGAAAAAATTTTGGAGTTGAAGCAATATTAATACAATGCCCTTAACCTCCACTTTCTTAAAATGAAAGCTGAGCTGCCACCTTGCTACTGAGCAAGAGAATCTTACAGTATATCCACAGAGGGCAACTAGGGTAGAGAGGGTGAGCCTTGTTAAAACAGTGGATTACTTTTCCCATGGGAAAGAATAGGCAGCTGAACCAGGTGGGTAAGCTCTGGTAAAGGATATAGATTGGGCACCAGATTCCAGAATACAGACCATCTAGGACGTGCATGCTTGTAAATCATCACCTTTGGAAGCAGCATATAGAATTTACAGTAAGAATGAATGTGGTTCACCTGCCCAGAACGCTGGCTGCACCGAGCCAGCTGGTTCCCTTTATAAACAGCTCGGGATTCGACAACAACAGAATGTAATTGGTTCAACATTCGGATCTCCCCCACTCTTAGTGTCCCGTGCTCCCTGGGCCCTGTTCTTCAGCGCTGCTGCACTGCAGTCTTCCACACTACGTGACAGTGCCTAAACAGGCTGCGTCTAAGAAAGCCAAACAGCCCAACACTACTTCTGGAGAATGCACCTCCCGTTGATTGACACATGCATAACAATTCCAGGCGGGTAACTATTTGAATTGTCAACCCTAACTACTTAAAACTATGCATTCAGATTTGCTTGCGATGGTATTACTGCAGTTGAGATTCTGCAGGGATCACCTCTTATCTACTCATCCCTCAGCAAGTTTTCCCTCCAACAATCCTAATTCTTCCATATTTCTTTCCATTTGTCCAAAACAACAGCATCACACCCCTAATAATACCGTTTTCCTACTAAAGTTGGCCTCTTGGCTTTTCTTCCACCACCACGCAGATTGGCCCCAGCATACTAGGACAAACTGAGGTGTTTCAGACATTCTGTTCAAGGTCAAGTATAGAGCCCAACTGCAGACAAGTGGATCGGGGCTTCTGGGCACCCAGCTTGCTCCCTGTTCCACCATGCAGCAAAATGGCATGAGTTTATTCTGTGAGTTGTTAACCAGCGAGCCTGAGGCACTCAAGTGCACTCACTGGCCAGATGTTCTTGTACCTCATCAAAGGCCCTCAGTGTTCCAGCAGCCTGTGATTTTATACATTTCAATCTGAGAAACTGCAAAACTGGTCTACAGCTGGGTGACTAAAGCCTGGTGTTAGAATTAAATCAGACTACACTTGGAGGACTTTGTTAAGCTGGAATGTTCAATCAGGATGTGTACTTTGTCTTGTCTTGTACACAGTGATGAGCCATTGACAAATAGCTCTGTGTCACAGTAGGTTATGTATGTTAAGTGGTTTACACACTTTCTCTCTTCATCCTTGTAAGTATTCAGTGGGCACCACCATATTTCTCGTTTTACAGATGAAGAAACGGATTTAGAGAGATTAGTTATCTAGCCCAAGGAAAAGAGCAGAAATACAAATTTGGTTTTATTTCCAAAACCCATTCTCCTAACCAGAGGCAAGTGAGAGATGGGACTTTTATAAAGATCACTCTGGTAGAAGTATGAGAAAAGACTGCATGAAAACAAATCAAAACACATTCTCTATAGCTCAGATGCCTATATGCTAGTGGATCTCATCCTAAGTCTCCAGGCCTCTCCATTTCAGAACATCCTGGACCTCTCCTCACCATTCTCTGACCTTGACATTAGAGCCTACCTAAGAAGTGGAGTTTTGTTCACTTTTTTTAGGTCGCAGACCAACTGGTTTGAGCTCAGACAGCCGCACCAGTGGTCCCCGGCGGGGTGGGGCGCATGCGCGCGGTTGCTAAGAAACGGCGATCCAGGCGCCGCGGTGGTAACTGCGCCGGGGCTGTGTGTGTAGGCAGCAGCGCCAGAGGAAGAGGAGCACGAGGATGCAGCTGCGACCGTGGCCCCAAGAGGGAGCAGCCACTGTTCTGTGGTCGCGGGGGCCACGAAATTGGAATTAAGCCTGGGGGTCCTGTTGTTGAGGGGACCAGGGCAGGCGATCCTGCCCCAAGCTCCGGCCTAGTATCCGGGAAGAGTTCGGTCCGCTGGGCGAAGGCCTGCCGCCTTTGCTTCCTCCTGGCCCTCCAAGTCGATGGTGGTGAAGTTGGTGGCCGCCAGAGGCACAAGCACCAGGCTGCTTCTCATGCACCGAGCGCCTTTCTGGCCCTGCTTGGACAGCTGCGACGCCGCCTCCTCTCGCCGGTGGATCCCACCCTCAGCGGCGGGGGAGGGGGAAAGTTTTCCCCTCCGCAGGGGCTGTGTGGTGCAGGGCGACAACAAGACCTTAGGAGAGTAGGGGTGAGTAGTGGCACCGCAGTCGCCTGGTGCTGGAGCTGTTTTCTGGTTTCAGGGTCTCTGGGGCCCCAGCAGGTCAGTGAAGCTCTGCTTTCTCATTCAGAAGCTTCCGACACCCTTCCTGCATCTGCTCGCGAGTAATTTCTTCCAGATAGTTTTGCTTCTCAAAGGCACCACTTTCTGATCTCAACCCTGGCTTCCAGAAACATAGTGTCGGTGATTAAGGCCTGGCAGTGCTTCTTAGATGCTGATGATTCTGAGTACAGTCATGCACCTTGGTCTCTGATTTCTAGACAGATTCTCCTAGTGCCCGGTTCACCCATTTCCCCTTGCTCTAACTGTGCCTCTGACTCTTGGTCTCCGGGGACAGTCTGACCTGACCTCAGGCTAGTTAAGAGCCCATCCTCCACATTGCTGTTGCTTCATGACTGAAGAATTGACCAGATAGCGTGAGTGTTGCCTTAATTTTCCGTATTCTTTATACTCATGTGTCATCAGCTTCTGCAAACCATTTGCCTAGCTCCTGACTCCTAACATGTAAAACTAGGCAGATACTAGTTGTGTTAAATAATAATAATAATCATGATAATAAGACAAAACTAGTAACATGTTCTATTTGACAATCGAAGTACCACCACACTTGAGAAGTAGACAAAGTCGATGATTGACAATAGAGGGAACACGTTTTACAAAGTACTCTTCATCCAGAGTGACTCACTTCTGCATTTAAAAATGTGTTCATGAAACTTAAGATGCTCCTAATAAAAATACGGATAGCTGTGATCTATTTGTTCTTCTTAAAGTAGGCTACAGTTGCAAATAGTCACTTCCCCAAACTTTAGCATGAGGCACCTGAAGTGAGAGTTTGGATACCATGATACCATGATTAGATAAGGTTCTAAAGTTACAAGGTGTTTTGACAATAGTTATTTTGAGGTGTGAGACTGCTTTTTAAAAAGCAGATGACTGAGAAAATTCCCAACTGACCCTTTTCAAAAGTGAACTCAATTTGAATCGATGTGTAATTTTAATTGTGAGGCACTTCTGTGGGCTGACAAGGAAAGATGGGTTCTTTTATTTCACACTCTTCCATCCTGACAGTTTTAAGCCATTTCAGGTCTCTTATCTAAAAAGAAGTAGTGAGAAAGAGCACAAGGATGGGAAAGCTAAATTTAGTTTTCACTAACCCCTTTAAGCTAAAGAACTTTAACAAGGATGTAGATGCCATTTGTGATTAGGTAACTTTGGCTAGTGAATCTGCCAATTTTAAATGTAGCAATTTAACACTGCCAATTTTCTGATAGTTTTAGGTAAAATGCTTTGTATTGATTGCTTTTGTGTCTGAGATGCTCTTGTGTTTAATGTACAATACCAGGGAAAAATAGTTTTCTACCTTAGTGTGAATTATCTGCTGTGCTCTTGATTTCAAACTTAGAGGTGGGCTTCTGTTTGGGAAAGGTCTTGAATTCTACCTTAATAGTTTGAAATACTATTAGATCTGAAGGAAAAGACTTCTATGAACATGAATGTGACCACATAGTAACCACATATCCCAGAGCATTCACACAGACTGTCATAATCACATGATAAAATAATATTTTGTTTTGCAAGTGCTGTTAAGGAATTTGATCACTAAACTCTGGAATGAAGCTTGTTTTTTTTTTTTAATTTTATTTACAGAGACTTTTATTAAGCCTTTATTTTCTAGATTCTATTCAGTGTACATCACTGTGGTGGAAATTGAAGAGAGTAGATTAGAAACAGGTCTCAGGGTCTGTTGGTATCTAGCATACACTAGAAGCATAAGGCTCTGGGTCCGATTGCCAGTAACCAGTAACTAAAATTTAAAAAAAGACACCAATAGAAACAGTTCTGAGGAATTCAGCTGCAGATAAGATATATGAATCAGAACATAGAAAAGTACAGAATAAGAGCTGAAAAAATTAAGACTATAGGGGAATCACCAAAGGCTAAGGGTTGTCTGAGAAAGCTTCATCTGAAAGTTATATTTGTTCTTGAAATTGTAGGCTTTGTTAGAAGGAGGAAAAGTTCATCACATTACCATTAGATTAACTAAAAGGGGGAAAGATTGCCTATAAGAGTTAACTTTCTTGAAGTGAGCAAACTTCTTATGCTATATTATAATTTAATAAATTAGATACTAATAACTTTGCAATGTACATAATATAGAAGTTAGTTTACAGTCATCCTATCCTGGGGCATGTGAGAATGTTTTGTAAAAAGATACAAATAATTAAGTTAGCGTATTTTATAAATGTGTATTTTCATTGCATAGTAAAACATGATTATCATCCAAGTGTTTTATACAAGACTAGTATAATAAATAGAACCTTATATTATTAATATTCTCCAAAGTCTATTTCCAGATAAATTCTATGAGCAACATGAATTTTGATTCATTAAATTATATAAATTCATTTATCATATACTGCCTTGTATGATAAAGGGAAGGGCTATATTAGGGTCTTCAAATTGTGTTAAAGTTCTAATATGTTAATGTATATGTTAATATTTGGCAAGTAACGTATGTTTAAACTTCAATCATAAACCTTTATAAAACTTATTTTAGTGCATGTTAACAGTTCCTAGGTTTTGGTCAGCCATTGTAAACTAATGTTCTCATATAGAAAAATAACAAACCATACTGCAATTAGAGATGATTGCTGATTTACTCTAATTTCTTTCACAAATTTTATTGCATTTGTATAAATGCAATATGAATTCAGTAAAAACTATTTTTTTCTTTATTAAAATATTATTTATTCCACCTTTTGTCTTTCTAGTATTTCTTTGTCTGACCACCACTATTACTACATCGTATCATAACAAACCATACATAATTAAAACCATGTAAAGGGTAGAGTTGCACCCTCAAATATTAAACAACCATTTTAGACAACACATATTTGGTAATGGATCCAGAACATCATTTATCAAACATTGTAGGGAAAGTTTTCATTTTTGTATTATAAAAGGAGAGGCCAGATAGCATTTGCTACAGAAATGAGGCAAGAAGGAATATTTCAAGCTGTTTAAATCATTTTCTGAAAGAGACTTCCTCCACTGTCAGAGAGCTTGGATAGCCTCCTGGTCAGTCATCTGGAAGCAATTCTTCACATAATTGATGAACTTGGCTTCTACTTTGGAAAGAGAACCACCCTTTCCTATACTTGCTTGCAATCTTGCTTTAATTGCTTTTGGTGTTTTAGGAAGATTTTTCCATTTTTTTTAAGGATCTTGGTTTTCATAGTATTTTAGTCTTTTCCATACTGGTATGAATTTTCTACATTTGTATCTTGTAATTTTCTGCACGTGGTATCTTGTACAGATTTCTTCACTGGAGCTTTGCTTTCCTCCTTGTACTGGTTGGCTTTTGTCCACTTGACATAAGCTATAGTCATCTGAGAAGAGGGAAGGAACCTCAATTAAGAGCCATAAGATCAGGCTGTAGGCAAGCCTTTAGGGCATTTTCTTACTTAGTGATTGATGGGGGAAGGCCCAACTCATTGTGGGTGGTGCCACCCCTGGACTGGTGGTCTTTGGCTCTATAAGAAAGTAGGCTGAGCAAGCCATGCGGAGTAAATCAGTAAGCAGTACCCCTCCATGGCTACTGTATCAGCTCCTGTCTCCAGGTTCTGCCAGAGTTCCTTCTCCAGCTTCCCTGGATGATAGACTACAAGCTATTAGATGAAATATACTCCTCCCCAAAACATGTTTTTTGGTCATGGTGTTTTGTCACAGCATTAGAAATCCTAACTATAACAATCCTTCTCTTCATGGTCATCTTGTTTATCAACAACTTTTCCTTTTTTTGTGTGTGGAATCTTTCTACCACTGCCAGGAGGCAGATTACTTTCCAGTTATACTTAAGAATTTTGCATGCTCTTAATCTTCATCTTACTCTGCATCCTCTTCCACAGCTGCTAGGTGCTGTCTACTAGTATGCACAGGTCCTGACCCATACATCAACCTGAAGACCACAGGTCGTATAATTTCAAAGTCCCCAAGGGAAACTGTCAGTTTCACAGACATTTTCAAAGTTGCCAGTGTTAATTTTAACTTTGTCCTTAATGTATGGTTCAATATGTTGTTAGTATATGATTCAATTCTCTAGCAATGCTGGACAGTTGCAATAATCTGTAGCTGCCAGTCAGCCATGAGAGGAAAAAAAAACAGTACTCTGCAGTGTACTGTGTTGCTACACTGATGTTCAGTAGGTTATGTGCATTAAGTCCAGTTTTTATTCACAAAGTTTTGAACTTTTGATTGAGTTATTGAGATGTAACCATATCACAAGTTGAAGATCATCTGCATTATATCAAAAAAGTTGTATGTCCCCTAACATAACTTCACATTTTAGAATTACAGAAACAAAGAATATGCATATTTGCTTCAAGAAGCAATAGACCCAAACTTCAAATTTGAGGCCTCTTGTATTTTTCATTTGTTATCTTTTTCTGAACACAGTAGTATTACTTGATAAGTTTGTTACTAACAAGCAATAATTCACTGTTTCTAGGCTCAGCAAATATTGTTGTTTCATAAAATTGTCATTTCATTGTTACTGATGGTTGAGTGTTGGGTGGAGTGTTTCTAGTTTCTTGGCCTCTTATTCAAAGACTTGAAATATACTGATTGCAAAGTAGCAGGGGATCTTTATTCAAAGCAAAGTCAAGAGTGACAGCGGGCTACATGAGTGAAAGAGTACTCAATAGACTTCTGATTATAGTTGGATGATTCCTTTTGTATGCCTTTTAAAAATGCTCCTATTCTAAAGTATAATCTTTATGTTGTCAGTGGACTGAAGATTTTCTGCTTGAGAACATGTCTAAAATTTTGTGATGAGAGCTTATTGGAATCATAGCCTTTATCCAACAATTCTCTTTGGATTAAATTGTCCTAAAGATACTGATAGACATTTCAATATGAAAAGAAGAGCAAAGAGTGGAATTCATTCTTCAAGTACTTTAACAACAAACTAA